GCGGCATCCCCGGCCGGGCCCGCCGAGCCCCGCGGCGGGGAGGGAGCGGCCCGGGCCGGACCGAGCCGAGCCGCAGCAGAGTCCGGAGGTGGAGCCGCGGCTGTTCCGGAGGAATCCGGGGCGGTTCCGGGGCGGTTCCGGGGCGGTTCCGGGGCGGTTCGGGGGGCCCGAGCCGCTCCCGGGGCGCTCCGGGATCAGCGGCGGCCCCGGCAGGACGCGGAAACGCCGCGAACCAGAAGTGACGTCACGCCAAGTGCCCCGCCCCGCCGCCCTCGCCGCAAATCCAGCTCCGGCGCCCCCGCTGGCCCCGCCCCCTCTGTTTCGTTCCTCCAATCCCCAGCACCGGCCGCCCTTAAGCCGCGCCCCCTACCGGATTTCCACCAATCCGCGCTTTCCTGAGCTCACGAAGACCCGCCCCCTCCTCCATAGACGCCCTCATAACCTCCCAAGATTTTCCCCCGTATCCCGCTTTCCCCTAGGCCACGCCCACACCGAGTCACCAACCAATAGGGACGCAGCACTGCAACCGCGAAACGTACGGGGGCGGGGCGGCGCAGTGGAGGCCACGCCCCCCCCCCCCCCCCCCCGCGGTCACACAAACGGACCCAAGATGGCCCCAAAATTTGCATTCTTTTAATTCCTTTTTAGCTTCTTCTGCCTCCAGCCAACTCCAGGGAAGGCCCGGAGCTCCTGTCCAGGAGCCTCGGGTCCCGTCAGAGGTCCGTGTTTGTCCTTTATGGCCGTGGGTTGAGATCCCACTGGGAGCGCCCGCCCCTGGCCAGCCGCAGAGCAGAGCCCTGTGTAAAGGAGAATAGTTCTGGCTACTTAATTTAGGGGTGGCTACCGCATTTTGGGGAGTGGCTACTGAATTCTGGGGGGGCTTGCTTACCGAATTTGGGGGGGGGGGGGTCCTCCCAGTGCTCCCAGTATCACCAAGCCCCCCTCCCAGTAACCCAAACACCCCCTCCCAGTGCTCCCAGGAGCCCAAATTCTCTCCCATTAACCACTTGCCCCTTCCAGTCCCCCCCAGTAACCCCCTCCCAGTGCCCCCAAGTCCCTCCTGGGGCTCCCTATATCCCCTCCCAGTTTATCCCAGTCCCTGCAGATTCCCCTCTCCGTGTCTCCCGGTTTATCCCAGTCCCCTGCCAGTTCCTCCCAGTGCCCCCTGTACCTGTCCCTCGCTTGTCCCAGCCAGGGCGGGCACTAGGAGGGAAAAGGGGTGTTAGAGGTTTTTGAGGTCACCCCAAAAATCAGGGTCAGCACTGAGGGACTTCTCTGGGAGGCCTTGGGGTCCTGCAGGGGGTTTGGGGAGCTCTGGGCTCCTTCCGTGGGGGTTTGGGGTCCCTATGGGGAGATACCAGGAGATATCAGTGGTTTGGGGTCACACCATGGGGGTTTGAGGCCCTTATGAGCTTTTAGGGTCCCTCCTTGGAGATGAGGAAAGGGAGTGGGGCTTGGAGCTGAAGGGCAGGGCTTGGGGCATTATTTTGGGGTAAATCCTGTAGGATTTGGGGTCGCTCACCCATGCCCGAGGCCAGAGGGGTCCCTGAATTTCTGTAGGCTATGCCAACCTGTGGGGGGAGAGCAAACCATTATGGGAACCCGCCTTGATTTGTGGTGGCCCCCATTTGGGGTGAGGTGTCACCTGCCATCCCAGGGTGCTGCGGGACTGAGGGGGCTCCAGTGGGGGCAAGCGGCTGCAAAAGAGAGGCGGGAGGTTTGGGGGACCCCCCTGTGCAACTGAGGGACCCCCATCCCAATTCAGGATGCCCTCCCCCCCTTACCTGACCACTTGACTGCTGAGCTGCCGGCGGGGCTGGGGGGTCACTGGAAAGGAGATGGAAAATTTGGGAGGACCCCTATGAGCAAGGAGAGGATGGGGAGGTGTTTTAGGGTGTGGAAGACCCCCTTAAAAATTTGGGGGGTGCTTACCTGACTGTGTAGGGGAGGGACGGGGGGTGCTGGTGCGGCTGCTCCAGTGCCAGGCAGGGGAGAGCTGTGAGGAGATCTGGAGAGCAGTTTTGTGTGTGGGGGGGGGAAGTTTAGGGGGACAGTTTTGGGGGTGAGGGAAGGGCCAGGGGGGCTTTGGGGACAGTTTGGAGGCCAGGGAAGGGGCAGGGGGATTTTGGGGGCCACCTGCATGCGGCGTAGCTCCTCATTCTCCCGGCGAAGTGACTCCAGCTCCCTGGGAAGGGGGAAGATTTAATGGAGGGTGGGAATTCCCCTCATTTGGGGTGGGGGTCCCTCCATAGGGAAGCTGAGGGGGGCAGAGCAAAGGGATGGAAGCTCACCAAGATGGCAACGAATGGCAGAACATCCTGTCACCAGTGTGGTAGCCAAGGGGGGGTAAACCCTCCCAAAAAAGTGGCCAGAAGGATGAGGACTCTCATCAAGATGTTGACCAAGGAGTGCTGCCTCACCTATATGCTCAGAGGAGCCCAATATGGAGGTGTGAACCCCCTACCATGGCATCCCCCTCACCTCGTCCTCTCCCTCAGCTCCTCTCTGGCCTTCTGCAGCTCTGCCTGCGCCCGCTGAGCTCTGTCCCGGTGCAAGTCCAGCAGAAGCTGCACCTGTGCTGTCTGGAACCGCCACACCTGGGGGACGTGGGTCACCGCGTTGAACCCCCTGAGAGTGTGGGGTTGGGGACAGTGGTGGAAGCTCATCCCTCACCACCTGTGTCCTCCTCACCTGCGTGATCTGGTCAAGGTGCTTGAGGGCGATGGCCGCCGGGTTCTTGAAGAAAACCTTCTCCTGTGGGCGCATCTGTTGGGCATGGGGGCGTCAAAAGGATGGGAAGAAGGTTGGGAAACGGGAAGGGAAAAGGGTGGGAAGGGGATCTGGGGCACAACATGGCAGACACTGGCCTGTTCGGACAGGGGCAGGTAGCGGCAGGCAGCACCACAGACTGGGCAGGGATCTGTAGGAGGGGGAGAAAAAAGTCAGAAAAGTGAGGGAAAAAGATGTCTAAAAGTCTCCAAAATGTTGTTCCTTGAGGGAAATGGACCACTGCCCCTCATTTTAGGGTTTTAAATTTAGGCAGGATCCTCCATTTCCACAATGCTAAGGGTGTACATTGAGGGGAAAATCGTCCTTTTTCCATCATTTGAAAGACAGAAATCGAGGGGAAACCCTCTTTTCCTGATATTTTAGGGGTTTATATTGAGGGCCGAGCCCTCAATTATTTATTTGCTTGAGTTGAGGTGACCCCTCCTTTCCCTCTCATTTTAGGGGCTAAATTGGAGGAAACTTCCCCCTTTCTCAGCATTTTAAGGGTTTAAATTGGGGGTTTTCCTCCATTTTACCTGTGCCCCCACAGCCCTCGCACAGGATGTGGCCGCAGTTGGTGATGGCGAACCGGGCGCCATCCTGGCGGAAGCAGCGGCTGCAGTGGAACCAGTCCATGGCGGGGCCGGGGTGAGGAGCTGCCTCCACACGTGAAAGTCTGCGAGGGAATGAGGGGGAAAGGTGAGGGGAAAAAGGTGAAAGGGTGGGAAAAAGCGGTGAGAGAAAAAAGGGACGGAAATGTGAGGGGGAAAGGGTCGGAAATGTGAGGGGGAAGGGGCTGGGATGCGTGAGGTGAAAAAGGGCGGGAAATGTGAGGGGGAAAGTGAGGGGAAGAAACAGCAGGAAAGATGAGAGAAAAAAGGGACGGAAATGTGAGGGGGAAAGGGTCAGAAATGTGAGGGGGAAAGGGTCAGAAATGTGAGGGGGAAAGGGTCAGAAATTTGAAGGGGAAAAGGCCGGAAATTTGAGGGGGAAAGGGTCAGAAATTTGAAGGGGAAAAGGCCGGAAATTTGAGGGGGAAAGGGCTGGGAAGTGTGAAGTGAAAAAGGGCGGGAAATGTGAAGGATGAAAGGGCAGGAAAGTTGAGGCAGAGGAAGGGCAGTAAAAGCGAGAAAAAGAGCAGGAAATGTGAGGGGGAAAGTGAGGGGAAGAAACAGCAGGAAAGATGAGAGAAAAAAGGGACGGAAATGTGAGGGGGAAAGGGTTGGAAATGTGAGGGGGAAAGGGTCAGAAATTGGAAGGGGAAAGGGCTGGGAAAGTGAGGGGAAGAAACTGCAGGAAAGATGAGAGAAAAAAGGGACGGAAATGTGAGGGGGAAAGGGTTGGAAATGTGAGGGGGAAAGTGAGGGGAAGAAACAGCAGGAAAGATGAGAGAAAAAAGGGACGGAAATGTGAGGGGGAAAGGGTTGGAAATGTGAGGTGAAAAAGGGCGGGAAATGTGAAGGATGAAAGGGCAGGAAAGTTGAGGCAGGGGAAGGGCAATAAAAGAGAAAAAGGGCGGGAAATGTGAGGGGGGAAAACAGCAGGAAAGATGGGAGGAAGAAGGGTGGAAAAAGGGAGGAAAAAAAGGGTGGGAAACATGGGAGAAAAAAGGGTGGGAAACGTGAGGGGGAAAAGGGTGGGAAAGGTGACGGGGAAATGGTGGAGGAAAAGGAGAGAAAAAGAGCAAGAAAGGGGAGAGATGAAAAAAGTGGGAAATAATGAGGGGGAAAAGGGCCACTTGGATGGGGACAGGGAAACCAGGATTGGGACATCAGGATGGGGACAGCAACATCTGGACCTATGGGGGCAGATGGGGATAAGGACACCAAGATGGAGATATCGGTGGGATCAGAGTTTTGGGGTGGTGCAGGGGGAGCACCCCAAAGCCCTGATCCTACGATTCCATGCTCCCAGAATCACTAAATCCTGCAAAATCTTTGGCTGTGTTGCATAATTCCAACAATTTTTAACTGGGGGGTGGGGGGCAGGAAAAGCACCCCCAGAATATCGGGGGAGGGTCTCGGGGTTTGGAGGATGCAGAAGGCACCCCAGAACCGCAATCCTATCAGTACCCGGTCCCAAAATTCCTCCATGCCACTGTTGAACCCTCTGGCCCCGCTGTGCAATTCCAACCATTTTTAATTCTAGGGATGGTGGGGGTGGGGGGGGCAGAAATGCTTTCCCAGGCCCTTGTGAGGGAGAATCTGGGGGGCACAGGGGCCACCCCAAAACCGTGATCCCGCTACGCCCCAATCCTGCTATCTCGGGATCCTGTGCTCCATCACTGTGTAATTCCAACCATTTTTGATTCCCGGGGGCGGGGGCAGGAAACGCCCCAATAAAACCCTCTGGGGGGGTCATTCAGGGATTTGGGGTGCGCAAGGGACACCCCGAAGCCCCGATCCCGCTGTTCCCGGAATCCCTGGATGCCGCTGCCGAGCCCTCCGCCCTCGTTGCGTAATTCCAACCATTTTTAATTCCCGGGGGGACAGGAAACGCGTCGCTGCCGTTACACAAAGCAGGAAGGGGGGAGGGAGAAGTCTGGGGGGTGCCCTGTCCTTAGTCCCCACAAACCCACCCTGCCCGTCCCCCCCAGATCCATCTCCCGCTTGGAAAATATCCCCCTTCCAAAAATAACAAACCCCCAACAATTCGGGCAATTCGCACAATCCCCCCGCCCCTCACTCAAAACCGGGCGGTTCGGGGGTGTCCCTGCTGGGGCTCGCCCTTTTTCTTTTTCCCCCCTTGGGGCTCCCCTCGCCCAAATTCCCGTTTTTCCAAGGTTTCCCCCCCACTTTTCCCAGCGTTTTTTCCCCGCTTTTTTTCCCAGTGGTGCATCCGGCGGGGAATGGGATGACGGGGCCTTCCTGTTCCCGGCCCCGCGCCCGCCTGGCGCCCGGGGGGCCCCCCCGGCACGAGCCCCCCGCAGCCCCGAGCCCGGCGGGACCCCCGGAGCCACCCCCGGAGCCCTCCGCAACGCCCCCGGCCCCTCCCGCGCCGCGGAGCCGCCGAGGTGAGTCCGGGGGCGCGGCGAGAGCGAAACGCCGTTTTTGGGGGGAAGGTAAGGGGAAAGAGCGGAGACAACCCCCCAAAAATTGGGGAGATCCCCCCCCGCCCAATTTGAGATACCCCGATGTTGGATTTGGGATGAGGGAGGCAATGGCGGAGCCGTTTTGGGGCTGGGAATGAGGGAAAAAGGAGAGTGGGAACCCTCCCACAAAAAAATTTGGGAGGACACCCCCTTTCCCCCCACAATTGGAGATACCCCCGGGCTTGGATTTGGGATGGGGAGGCGATGGCGGAGGGGTGGCAAAAGATTTGGGGCGGGGGCGATGTGGATGAACGGCGGGTTTCAGGGATGGAAAGGGCAGGGAAGGGAGCGGGGGGACCCCCTCCCCAAAAAATAAATCTGGGAGATCCCCCCCGACGTCCGACTGGAGATTCCAGGGGATAAAGGGGAACGATGGATTGGAGCCGGAGGGGGTGGGCGGTGGAAAAGAGGCGCCGTTTGTAGGTTTGGAAAAGATGGAAGAAGGTAAGCGGGGAACACTCCTACCCACCCAAATTTAGGAAATTCCTTCCCTATTGGGGATACCCCCGGTCTTGGATTTGGGGAGTGGGAGGTGATGGCAGGGGGCGACAATGGAAGGCGAGGGGGGAGGTGCTGTTTTTAGGTTTGGAATAGAGGGAAGAAGGAGAGTAGGGACCCTCACAAAAATCTGGGAGGTCCCTCCTGCAGTTGTGGATAACCTCCGTCTTGGATTTGGGAGGGGAGGGGAGATGGATTTGGGCCTGGGAGGAGGGATCAGGCGCTGGTTTGGGGGCAGAAGGTGGGGAGGAATGAGAGTGGGAAAATTCCCCTTCAAAAAATCTGTGAGACTCCCCCCAAAAATTTTGGTTGCCTCCATGTTGGATTTGAAGAGGGGGGACGGATTGTGGATAAACCATTCTGGAATGAGGGGCAAGAGAGTGGGGACCCCTCAAAAAAGAACCTGGGAGTCCCCCCCAGTATTCGATTTGGGGTGGGGGATGAATTTTGGAGAAGGTTCCTGGAGCTCCGTTGTTCTTTTGTGCCCCCTTCCCAAAACTAAATGTGGGGGGAGCAAATCTGGGGGGACTGGCAGTAATTTGGGGGCAGCCTGGGTGATTTGGGGGGGTCCCAGGTGATTTTGGGGGGCACTGGGATTTTGGGGGCTGAGTCTGGAGCAGCTGCGGGACCCCCCCAAGACCCTCAAAGAGAGATGAGGGGGAAACTGGGGAGTACAGGGTGATTTGGGGAGACACAGAGGGATTTGGGGTCACAGAGAAGGATTTTGAGGGACACAAAGGGATTTTTAGGGGGAACAGGGATATTTGAGGAGACACAGAGGGATTTGGGATCACATGGAGGAGTTTGAAGTTACACTGAGGGATTTGAGGGGACATGAAGAGATTTGGGCTGGGGGGCAGAGAGGTTTTTGGGGGAATGAGACTTAGGAGGGCATGAGGGGATTTGGGATCAGCCTGAAGGATTTGGAGGGGTAACACAGAAGGATTTGGGTGGGGTACATGGAAATTGAGGGGGTCACAGGGAGGGTTTTAGAGTCACCCTGAGAAATTTGGGGGGTACAGCAGGAGCCAAGATGCAAACAGTCCTTTGGAATGGGGGGGCGGCTGTGGGTTTCTGCTGCACAGAGGGGTGCTGGGGTGTTTTGGGGTGCTCAGGGCCCTCCTTGACGCTGCAGTCCCCGCAGGAGCCCCCATGGAGCAGGACGAGCCAGACGTGGTGGAACTGCAGGACTCGGATGAGGGGGACGTGGTCTTCATTGGTGAGGGGGGACCCCGAAAGTGGATGAGGGGGTTGGGGGGTTCCAGGTAACCCAGAAAGGCGGTACAGGAAATTCTGGGGGGGATCCAGACACACCTAGAAGGGGGTAGAGGCATTTGGGATGGGGTTCAAGGCACTTCTGGGGGTCTCCAGACACCATTGGAGGGGGACAGAGGCATTTCAGGGGGTCTTAAAACACTGTTGAGGGGGTTCCAGACCCCCCAAGAAGGGGGTATGGGGAATTTTGGGGGCCTTCAGGTACTTTTGGGGAGCTCCAGACACTCCAGGAGGGGGCACAGCCTCTTTTTGCGGCACAGTGAGCATTTGGGGAGGGGATCCAGTCCCTTTTTGGGTCACAATGACCATTTGGGTCAGGGGCTCAATAAATATTTGAGGAGAAGGCCCTGCCCCTTTTTTGGGTCACAACAACCATTTGGGGAGGGGTCCCAGCCCCTTTTGGGTCACAGCAAACATTTTGAGGGGGCTCCAGGCAAACTGGGGAGGCTCCAGGCACCCTTTTAGTGCGCAATGAGCATTTGGGGAGGGGGCCCAGCCCGTTTTAGGAATAAAATCAACGTCCAGCCCCTTCTGTGCTCTCACCCCCAGCCGATGGCGGCATCGTGAGCGACGGCGAGGCCGAGGTGCTGCCGCACGAGAGCACCCGCACGGTGATCCCGCACAGCCCCCTGTGCCCCCCGCCGCCCCGCGGGACCCCCGCCCCGGCCCCGGGGGGCTCCGAGGAGGGCGGGGGGCGGCGGGGCGGGGGCCGCCAGCGCCCCTTCATCTGCAACGAGTGCGGCAAGAGCTTCAGCCACTGGTCCAAGCTGCTGCGGCACCAGCGCACGCACACGGGCGAGCGGCCCAGCACCTGCGGCGAGTGCGGCAAGAGCTTCTCCCAGAACTCGCACCTGGTGCAGCACCGCCGCACCCACACCGGGGAGAAGCCCTACAGCTGCGGCCACTGCGGCAAGAGCTTCTCCTGGAGCTCCAACCTCATCCAGCACCAGCGCATTCACACCGGGGAGCGCCCGTACGGCTGCGCCGAGTGCGGCAAGAGCTTCACGCAGAGCAAGAACCTCATCAAGCACGAGCGCACCCACGCCGGGCCGGGGGCAGCGCGGCCGCGCCGCTGCGCCCACCCCGCAGGTGCCCCGAGGGCGCTGAAGGGGCCTCGGGCGGGGGGCGAGGGCGAGGGGCCCGCGGGGGCCTCGGGCGGCTGCGGGCAGGAGCCGCTGATCTGCGTGGAGTGCGGGGACTGCTTCGCCCAGAGCGCCGCGCTCAGGAAGCACCGCCGGGGACACCGCCCGCTCTTCGTGCCCTGGGAGAACGCTGAGGAGAGGGCACAGGGACAGCCGGGCACTGTCCTCGCACCCTTGGGGACAGTGGCACCAGGACATGGGGACATGGGGCACTGCGCGCTCTTCCAGCCCTGAGGGACAGTGGCACCAGGACATGGGGACATGGGGCACCACCTGCTCTTCATGCCCTGAGGGACAGGAGGACAGTGGCACCAGGACATGGGGACATGGGGCACCACCCGCTCTTCCAGCCCTGAGGGACAGTGGCACCAGGACATGGGGACATGGGGCACCGCCTGCTCTTCATGCCGTGAGGGACTGGAGGACAGTGGCACCAGGACATGGGGACATGGGGCACCGCCTGCTCTTCATGCCGTGAGGGACTGGAGGACAGTGGCACCAGGACATGGGGCACCGCCTGCTCTTCATGCCGTGAGGGACTGGAGGACAGTGGCACCAGGACATGGGGCACCGCCTGCTCTTCATGCCCCGAGGGGACACTGCGGAGAGGGCACAGGGACAGCGGGGCACTGTCCTCGCACCCTGGGGGCACTGCCCGCTCTTCGTGCCCTGAGGGGCAGGAGGACAGGCATAGGGACATGATAGTTGGCGCACTGGCTGCTCTTCATGCCCCGAGGGGACACCATGGTGGGGACACAAGGACAGTTGGACAATGTTCTGGCAGTGTCTGCTCTTGGTCACCTGTGGGGACACACAGTGGGCCACTCTGGTGGAGGACACGGGGACTGTGCCACAGACAGGAGACACGGTGCCACCATGCGAGGGGACACAGGGATTGTTTGAGGGGCAGGACGTGGTGATAGAGCTGGGGTCACACGAGTCATGCCACAGGTGAGGGGACATGGTGACACCAAGCTGGGAGACAGTGGGGGGCACCTGGACTGGGACAAAGACAGGATGCGGTGACACTCAGGACACAGGGACACAGAGCTCATGTCACCCGTGCCCTGTGTCACCGTCGGTGCCCCTCGCTGGTCCCCATCAGTGCCACATCCCAGAGCTGTAAATAGGGGAAGGGGGGAGGGACGTGAGGGTGGGACCCTGGGGGAGGGGGGAGGTGACACCAGGACCCCCGTGGGGTGGGGTGGGGGCATGGATGGGGCTGGGCTGTGAATAAAGTTGTGTTTTGGGGGACGTGGGTGTTGGTTTTAGGGGGTGACAAAAATGGGGGGGCGGACAACCCCAGGAGAGAGGCTAGAAACCCCTGGGGGAGGGCAAAAAGCCCCCATGGGGGGGAGTTTGGGGGCCTCAGAGGTTTGGAGGGTCCCAGGTCAGTCCCTGCAAAGCCTTAAAGGATAGGGGGAGTGACAGGAAATTTGGGGGTCAAAAAAGGGGTCTTAAAACTTGGAAGGGATTGCAAGGAGGTCCCAAATTGGAAGGCGGTCGGGGAGACCCCAAAACTGGGACAGGCTCCCATATAGGTGGGGAGGGGGATTGGGGGACATTAAATTCTGTGGGTGCAGCTGTGGCAGAGCCCTCCCACCACAGACCCCCCCATGCCCCAAGTTCTTCCTCTCAAGACCCCTCAAAAACCCCCAGATCCCACTCAGAGCTGTCTCTTCTTCATTCCAGGAACTGGTACAGAGCAGGGAAGCGTTGATTTGTGGCCTTATCTGTGCAGCCACCTCCTGGAATTTCGGACGGCGCAGGATGTGTCCCACACCCAGCATTGCCTTTCAGGAGGTGCCCACCCACTCAGGACCACAACCACCGGCCCTTTTCCCTGTGAAACAAAACTCGCCAGCCCAGGCTCCTGGTGTCGTTTTGCAGGGTGTGCTTGGGACTGTCAGGGCAGCACAAATTAGAGGTGAGGGCAGTTTGGGTCTGGTCTGGGACACATCCTTCGCTGTTCAGAGTTTTTGGAGGCAGCCATCCACTCAGGACCACAGGTGGTCATTGGAATGGCTTTCCCAGAGGATGCCTCATCCCTGGAAGTGCCCAAGGCCACGTTGGTCGGGGCTTAGAGCAACCTGGGATAGTGGGAGGTGTCCCTGCCATGGCAGGGGCTGGAATGTGATGAGGTTTGAGGTCCCCTCCAACCCAAACCATGATTCCATGACAATTCTCTGACCCTTTAAACACTTCCTGTTTGTGAAACAAGATGAATCTAGACTTCAGTTATAATGGAAATGACCCAAACTTTATTGAAGGTTTTGTCATTAGCAGAACTGTTAAGAAAGCAGAATATTTTACACCTCAAGAATCATTAAGATCTAATTCTCTTGAGAATACAGTACAAATAAAAGCTAATAAAAAAAAAGGGTCTCCTCCTCCCCACATTCAAGATTTTATTATTTGTAAAAGTAATGAAGTCAAGTTAAAAAAATGTTCTGATCTTCAACACTGGCAATTGGAAATTGTCACTGATTCCAGAGATTTTTGCAATGCAGCACAATTTCACAGCTGTAAGGAAAAGATTTATGGCAGCTTGATAAAAGTAGGATTTCAAAGTGGTCAAAAGGCCTTAAAAATCTTGTCTGCAGTTTAAAATTACGATGAAGAACTCCAAGTAAAAAAAGACAACTGAACAAACAAAAAACGCCACTTCAAATGCATGCGAAATGCAGAAGTAATGCCCTGCAGGCTGCTCCAAAGTGTTCATTTGTCTTTTGCAGAGGCCTGGCAGCCAGCACAGCTCCTGGGATAGCACTGAAATACACACGGTCCAGCAACAGGCACCATTCCAGTTGTGCAGGGACTCCTCAACTGATCACAGACAGGTTTGAGAGAGAAATTCACATTGCACTCAGTGTAGGATGCTTTAGTTGTTGGGCCACTACACACAGAAATGCTTTTATTATTAAGAAAAAAAGCCCATTGTGCCCTTTCCATGTATTAAAGTGCATTAAGTGGCCATTTTAAAGCCCTTTGAAGTTGGTCCCTAAGCACTGCAGTAGCAGCTGTAGTGGTACGGGTGGTGTGTTCCAGAGGCCCTGTCCCACACCAGCAGGGCAGTACAGTGGAATTCCATAAACTGTTAGTGAAATACCTATTGAAGCTCAAAGGGAGAAGACAGACAACAGCTCTGTTCTCATGCTGGGGACAGACATTACCTGCTGAAGCCGTCCCACAGCCAGACACTTGCTCCATGCACCTAAAGAATCTGCAGGCTTCCAGAGTTTTCCAGCTGAGATAATTTGTAGGTAGATTCCCTTAATGCTGATGTGCAGTGCGGCATCACTTCATCCAGGAGAGCTGTTTGTTAAAGCTAAAAATACCCATTTCAAAAGGCCCAGCACCTTGCAGCAAGTTTTCTAGTAAAAGGCCAATTTACTCATCATCATCATCATCTTCATAGCAGCGATTCCTTTTGATCTGTTCTTCCACGGACAGATCTTCCATGTCTTCACCCTCCCAAAAACCAACGTCTTGGGATTTGCGATTCTGGTTTGGAGATGATTCCTTAGCGGTCAGGACATTGGCTAAGCTGGAATGTTTAGGAGAATTTGGTTCCAGGAGTTCTTCCTTTGGGATTTCTGGCTCCTCTGTAGCGTGCTCTTCCTCATCTGTGTCTGCATTCATCTGGCCATTCTCTACAACGTTGTGCTCTGCTGTTTTGATGCCACACAATTCCCGTTCTTCCTCCACATTTTCCTCCCCGGCGCTCTGGATGTTCCTATGCTCAACCTTCTTTTCCTTTTGCTTTTTCTCTATGACAACCTCTCTCTCCAGTTCCTCACTCCTTTTCAGTGTGTCTCTCTCTTCCTTGGGAGGAGATGGTGAATTCTCTGTTTTATGGCCTTTAACAGATATTGTTCTAAATGAGGCTGCCACTGTAAAGGGGCGACTTCGCTCCTTCAGCGAGGAGGATCTTCTTAACTTTTTGAGATCCAGATCCACATCCTCCTGCACCTCGGGCTTGGAAATCTCTTCTTCTGGAGGCCACTTGGGTTTGAGTACTTTGATGCCCTCATCTAAGGCACTTCCTTGGATACTTTGGTCAGATGGAGGTGGCCAGGCAATCCTGAGCTTTTTTGTTTCTGCTGGTCTTTCTTCCCTTTCAGGCACAGCTGAAGCTTTTGCTTCCATACTTGCTGCCAGAACTCCCACTTTTGCAATCGGAGCATCCTCTACTCCCGGGCTCTGTGGAGTTTCTGGTGAATTCACACCTGGGACGGTTTTCTCCGGGGATTCTTCACATTCAGTTTTACCTGCCCACAATTCCTTATGCTGCTTGTGCCCAAAGCCCTCATCGTAGTTGCCTTTGGACTTGAAGAGCTGATTGAAGTGAGGCTTGCAGTAGATGTTGCCACGCAGAGACGCGTACGTCCCGAGGCTGTTCAGGAAACACAGACCAAACATCAGAGCTCAGGGCCACCAACACCAGCGCCTGTTCCAGTTGTCTAACAGAAAATATTCAATTCCAGTCTTCCACATGTTCAGAAAAAAGCTTACAGCCCTCAGGGTTTGCATGGCTCTTTCTAGGAATTCTTTACAAAGCTGGATGTTCAATTTTTTCCCACATAAAATTATATTAGGACTTTAAAAATGGCATCAAGTGCAGCAGGCAGAAGTAGGCCTGTGTTGCCTCTCCTACACAAATCTCTGGATTATGGTGACTTCCAGCTCAGCTAGGCCTGGCTTCCCTCAGCCAGGACAGGAAAATTCTCTTCCCAGAGGGCAGCCAGGGGAGCAGTGCACATACCTGAGTTTGCTGTTGCAATAGGAACAGCGGAAGCAGCTGATGTGAAACACCTGCTGGTTGGCAAAGAGCCTTTCCATGGGGTACACGGTCTTCTGACACCCAACACAGGTTTCCTTCATTGGCAACTGGAATTTCTACAGGGGAAGAGAAAGTTTGTTAACTGGGAAGCACATCAGCTGCTGGGGACTTGGCGTGGGTTCACGCAGGGTTTCCTGAATTCTCAAGAGCTGCAGAGGGTTCACTTTCTCTAATTATGGTGCAGCAGGGTCTGGTGGGCAGTAAGGAGCTATGACAGGCCCACAGGATTGCTGTGGTTTGACAGGAGCCAAGATTTCACCCCAGTGAATCCCAGATGAAGCATCCCACATGCTGAGCAATGGTTGGGAAAGAACAATGAGAGCACTAAAATTGTCCCCCCAAAGCTGTCTCATCCTTTCCTGCAAACTGTTTTTGTTGGTAGGAGAGTGATGAAGCATTCCAGTTGATTGCAATCAGTGTGAGACTTACCAAAATAATAAAAATAGTGCAGAAAAAGAGAATCTTGAGATGGTTTGGTTGGAAAGGACCTTGAAGATCCTGTAATTCCAATCCCCTGCCACAGTCAGGGAAATTGTCCACCAGAATTGAAATAGCCTCAAAAGGTACAGGGTGGGAGAGGAAAGGAGTGAAACAGGCTGCCCAATGGTTTGAAATGTTCCATTTTTGTTAAATCTTCTCTCAAAGAGGAGGAAATAGCCTCAGTACCATTACAACAGCAGGAAACACTCCTGGCTTCACTCGTAAACAATTCCAGCTCAGGTTTCAGGACTCACAGCCCCCCAAACTTGCTCAAGATTCAAAGTGAGCCGAGTTTTGAGGTTAAACAGCTAAAATCCTTATGTGCTTATTGAATTTCCTGAGGGTTTAGTGCAAGGATAAACTTGAGCACTGAGGAGTTGGGTGTCACTGCTGTGCAGCAATGACCACAGGTTTGTTTCCAGACAGCATCGAGGAAACAAGAACATTGTCCATGAGAAAAGGTCAGTGGATGCCATTTACTTCTTGAAATTAACACGGGCCAATGGGGAGGACATTTTACAGGATAAATTAAATAACACAACATTGGCATTTCGAGGCTGCATGTTGATTAAAAATGATTTAGCAGCCCAGCCTCCACTCCAGGGTGTGCTCAGACATAACTTGTAAGTGTGGCTTTTCCTTGGCAAAGAATTACCAGCTAAAAATTTACAAAAAGCTTTATGGAAAAATCTGATGGCTAAAGAAAAAAGCAGGAAGGGCACAGGAAGACATAATCACAGAAATTTATTTATAAGTCTAGAAACAATGGTTAGGAATGAAAGTTCCAGCATGTAAGGGCAGATTGCTGAAGATGGAGCCAGCTCAAGTCACTTTGTCACAACCATAAAGTTTGCTGCCAATTTAATTCCATTTTAATATGTATTTCAGAGTTTCCAGGCATTGCTTGAAGTTACAGTAGATTAAAGTTCTG